ATAGCATGTCTTTGATGTGTAATAATCTTGAGCGTGTGATGATCAATTTTTGCAGCTTTTGTTATAGTGCCTTCAACATCCTCTTCTAGTTCTTATAGCATGATATGAGACTTAAAATGAGAAAAATTATGTGTACTAAGAATTGGAGATGAGAGATGATAATTCCTTAGATAATGTGATAATTAATTGAGTAAAATATAACAATATGCTTAATGCTCAGGTCTATAAATGTTGGTCTTTCTCTTATACGGTGCAATGCATGTTATGTAATAGTCAATGCTAAATGTAAGATGTATTATTTATGCCAAATAAATCCTAAGACGGTACTATGCATAAGAGAATAGGACTTGAATTTGCATTTGTTGATGTCCCAAAATATCAAGCTTTAGGTGGTCCTAATATTGCCACTATCTTAGGACCATTTTTTCTAGCATCATGTTGTTACCTATTAGTAATAGTTGTTAGGTATGACTCATATGCTAGAATTTAGAGTCTCTTGGAATGAAGAGGTGTATCTCCTGAAATGAAGAGAAGCATCTCTTGGAATTGATGAGGTGTCTCATAGAATTTAGTGGTTTGGGAGGAGTGAGGGCGTGTTAGTAATTTTATCTGTGGGTTTTATCTATAAATATGATATGTAACCCTATGGTTATGTACTGGACTCCTCTGAAATAGTGAATTCGACGCTCTACTCCCGAGGACATAGGCATCATTGTCGAACCTCGTTAAATCTCTGTGTGCTCTTTTGGATTTGTGTTGGTTTTTATTTTTCTTCGCCCTAATTTATCAACAATAGTGTTTATTCTTTGTCACACATTTCTACTTAGCCTCTTCATTTTGTTTATTACATGTTATATAAAGATATCCTCGTCTCTCAAAAAGAAATGATGGATCTCTTTGGAGTCCAAGTTTAATGATATTAGTGTTGATGGTAGCACAATCGAGATCAAAAGAAACACTATAAAAAACTAACCAATTATCGACCAAAAATTGTTGGGTGAGAGTTTATATTTCCATCAAAAATTAAAGTTTTTGGCTGAATTTCGGTTGATAAATGTTAACCGTTAATTTTTTTGTTGGAAATGTTTAACTTGCTACAAATATTTCTCCGTTAAAGAATTAACGACATAATTGTGGCTAAATGTAGGTAAGTCTTTCTACCGCTTGTCAGCTAGTTATTCAGTCGTTAAATTAATATCAAATGAATTATTAGTCGTTAAATCTAACAGTGGAATTAGCGGCTGATCTTTCCACCACCAATTATGTGTTTTTTTTTTTTTTTTTTTTTTTTTTTTTTTCTCAAATGGTAATAATATACAAGCTGAACAATTAGCCAGTAATTGGTTGGAAACATATACAAAAAATAAATAAATAAGGGCCCTCGGCAAGCAAATTTTATCACTTGCAATCGTAAAATGAAATAAATAAGTATTCAACTTACATGGACATGCTGAGATCTATCATCGATCCCCCATTGGTCTGATTGATGTTGATGTGTATGGGCATGCAACTCAGTGATAGAGGGCTCCCGTCCAAGTATCTGCTTCTGTTAACATATAAAAGGGTTAGAAAACAGAATTATAGAAATTAATTTAATGCATTGAATAAATCTTATCATTCTTCGCCTATACTCAATTTGGGGACAGAGCCTCAAGTATATACAAAGGTACGTATGCCCCCAAAGTGCGAGGCTCATTGTGATATGATGTTTGTCTCTTCTTGGGATATTAAGGCATTGCCCAAGCTATGGAAAACTTACCCCAAGCATCCTCCCCTATCTACATGGGACTTTGCTCCTTAAGGATATCAATGAATATATCTTATAAGTGAGTCTATCTATTGGTCTCGAAGCTCTTCGGTATCCACCGAAGATGATGAGTATCCCATTAGAAATGTTCTATAAAATAAATATAAAAGAATATTATTTTTTATAAATAATATAGCTTAGGATTATACTTGTAATTCAAAATTAGTTAATTTTACCTCAATCACCCTCAACTTGAAGTCATAGAACTTGATTAGGATCTTCTTCCATGATATATATGGAGCATCATACTTGCTCTTGATGAACTTTATAATATTGTCCATTGGTTGCTTGGATGGATGAAACCTAAAAAACTATAGTTATATAATATAATGAAAAAATAATTTTAGCTATTATAATTTAAATTACTTGTGAATCTTCATCTGCTCGATGTACAACTGTTGTGTTGGTGTCCACGATAACATTAGGGGTTTTAATGATCTAATTTCAAAAATTTAGTGCGGCTCGAAATCATCTCCTAACCCGTTATATTCAACTTTGAGCTGAGCCGGCTCAAAATTGAATCAAGCATAGTTTGGCTTGAAATCAAAATGAGCTTACTCAAATTGAGTTATTTGGGTCAGTTTCAGCTAAATTGAAACTTATTGGCTAAAATTAAGTTATTAACCACTCAGAGAGTCGCCTCACAAGCCAAATTGACTCATTTCCACCCCCTAATTGTAATTCAAGCTCAAATCAGTATTATTAGAAGTTAATGTGACTTTACATGCACATCACAAAATTCTTCTGCATTTACATAACAAATACCTAACTGTTCAAATATTTAACATCACATAAGAAATGCTACTATTAATAATTTTTTTAAAAGTGAAATACAGATTTTTCATGCATAGAATTATATGACACCAAAATGTTATAAATGTAAATATAAAATTTTAAATGTTATTTATGTAAATACATAAAAATTGTGTGACATGTATGTAAATTTCTCAAAATTAAGATAATGACAATAAGAGCCTACCGATAAATTGATAGCTGATATCGTTTTAATTGCAACATTATTCCACTCATCAATAATTGATTTCATCAAATCAAAAAATGATTGCAAAAATTGACGAATTCAAACACAATCCAAAACTGCAATAATTCATGGTTAAAATGTCAGATTGTCTAACTACCAGATAATCTTCATTTTATTTATTTATTTATTTATTTATTTATTTTGTCTCTATACCATACCGTTCGTCCGCGTCGTCTTTTCCATCTGCTCGCACGAAAAGATGATACTCCATGTGGTACGGTAATGCATCCGCCAAGTGTTTCATGATGTACATCATCCGGTTGCTCATATGACAGCATGGATCGTGTGATCCACACCATCATTCAAACGTAACTTATGGACCGTGCAATCCACATCAACATTCAGACGTATAATATCTGGACGTAATATTTTACCCGTGTTTTATACTCGCTCAGAGCAATGGTGTCTAACTATGGTGGCCACAATAGCCCATGCAGTTGGGATCATGAAATTAGAAGGAAGATTCACAAACATATCACTCAACTCAATTCTTCTGTAAATATGAACTCCTAAATTTTTATTTTTACACATGCTGCTTTACCTATTAATAAATAGAAATATACTTCATTTTCTTAAAATAAAATAATAATTTTTTTAGCCTTACAAAAAAAATTTAAGTGGTATAAATGTAAAAAATAAAATTTTTAAGTATTAGACATGTAAACTCATAAGAATTAGGATATATGCCCAATTCATATAAAGAAAAATTTGTATACATGCTACATGTTTTATTTATTTATATATCTAACATCTAAAAAATGATATTTATAATTATAATATATTGGCTTTAAGAACTCATACATGAAAAATTATATATTCGTTGTTCAAATTATAGGGATAATTACATACATAGCACCCGAAACATTGTTATTTACAAAATCTAACACTAATACGATATTTTTGAACTACTGAACCAATTGATTTACACATGCCACAATCTAGTCATTGAGAATCTGATAAAAAAAATAAAAAAATATGACTTGGGGTCTTATCGTGGATTTTGATATATTTGAGTGAGAATTAAAAAAATAGATGGGCGTAGAGCTATATTGTGAGTGTCATATAAACAACTCTCATTTAGGGAAAAATAGTACATTAGGACCCCTAACCTAGAGCTACGTTCGGAATCCATTGATATGAGGGCACGTGGCTTCAAGGAAATGTGTGTGCTTTCCTGTGATCCGACTCGATAACACATGAGCATATTCCTCATGTGTTATTCCACGTTATTCAGGTGTTATTGTGATGACATTGATGTGTTATTGTGTTATTATAACACCGGGAATATTCCCAGAACACAATAACGCATGAATACCACCACAATAACACCTAAATAATGTGAAATAACTCGAAGGGAATATTCCCCAATGCTAAAATGATTTTTATTTTTGTTTTTTCGTAACTCCCATGTGGTATTATTTCGTTGGACTCCAAACGTATCTCTACATTTAGAGTCTTGATGTAATATTTTTCCCTCATTTAGGGAGATGATAACATCTTTAATGTGATGTCAAATTTTCAGTGAATGTATATAAAAATAAAAATGTATTTGTTAAATATATAAATATACAAGTATTATGCGGTATTTATGTAAATGACACAAAATACAATTAAAATAAACTATCATATACAAGATCAATATAGCATTTTCTTATATATCGACATTTTTAAAATCGATATATTTCGAAAAAAAAAAAACAAACAAAAAAAAACCTAACATAATACCATTTGGGCTTTTATAGTTTATAGCAAGAATAAACAATCCAATTAATTTCACATACTACCACATGGCCTTTTACAAGCAGACCCCACCCAATTCTTCTGCATTTACATATTTAACACCTAAACTTTACTTTTTACATTTATACCACCCAAATCTTTCATATCACATCAAAAGCACCACCATTATAACTTTCAACAGGTGTAATGCAGCTTTTCATGCAAAAGCAATATAGCATATATGCAAAAATTCAAGTTTTAGAATTAGATATGTAAATACATAGGAATTAATTGGTACGTTCATAAATCTTCCATTGCATGCATGCACCAGCAACATAATACCATTTTTACAGCAATATTCATGAGACAAACTTGTGCTTCAGAACATTTTGGAAAATCTTTATCTGGATGCTAAGATAGAACAGGAAAATAATATGCAAGAACACTGATCCACGATATAACTAGCATAACACTGCAGTAGAGCAGTGGTGGGAGCACCAGCCTCGCTCCAAGTCTATATCACATTAAATATACAAATAAAAAACGCAAAATAATAACGTAAAACTGTAACACACTAATTCATTTAGGATGAATTTATCAATAAGTCATTCTCAGAAGGCAAAATGAGAAGACAAACAGCTACAAGACATGTGACAAAGAACAGAAAATAACTCCAGTGCTCTGTGCTTACACCGATGGGAAGAACTTGTTCAGATTAAATGGCAAGGAGTAGAATTCTTCGCTCCTGTTGTCCGTCTTGAAGGATCGAAATTTGTCCCACCAATGATAACCTCTGTCCTTTCTAACCGCGCCGTCGCGCCTGTGGAGAGTGTTGTCTAAGAAGAAAGCGATGAGACCAGCGACGAATGGCTCCGACGAGAATATAACATTAATGATGTCATTGAACTGCAAAGAAGAAATTAGCATCAGTACATAAATAAGGAGCATTTGCATACATACCACCCAATTCAAATGTATGTACATATCTAAAATTTGAACTATAATTTCTACATTTATACTGCCCAAATCTTTCATATCACGTCAAAAATATGATTATTTTTTACATTTTCATGCATAGGCAAGGTGGCTTATATGTAAAAATTGAAATTTAGGTGTTAAATATATAAATACATACAGATGGATACATATACGCAGACATATGAACAGACATGCACACACAGCCACATACAGACATACATACACACACATACAGACATACAGGCATACATATATACATGCATAACATACATACATACATACATATACACATACCATACACAGGTACACAGACACACACATATACATATACACACAGACAAAGCCGAATATGACCGAACAATGCCTTGTTTGTGTTTGACTCATCAAAAACAGGAGCTTTAAAAATCTAGATGAACATAAACTAATCATTAAGCCAACTATACTCGAGCATGAACAATAACCATTTTTTGAGAACCTTATTGACAGTTAAGAGTTCACATACCCATCTTGCACCAGTATGGGCTGGACCATAACCAGCAACTGCCGTGTATTCTTTGAAGTATTGAGGAATTGATAAGCCCATAAAGACAGAAAATCCCAATATAAACTTTGTTCTGAAGGAGTTCAGATTGCAGAACTGTAAGAAGCTGAGACCACACGAACCTGTTTGACAGCAGCAAGGAAAGATTACAGAAATCTTTTTTAAGGAATTCAAGGCAACTTGTGGCCAGCAATATAAATAAAGGTTTGTTCTGAAATATACCAACATATGCAAAGAACAGACAGTATAAAGCTGCAAATATGGGAGCTGGAATAGATGCAAAAACAGCTCCAAATTTGCCTGAAACCAACAATAAGATGGTTATAAATACATCAGGATAATTTAATACAGAATGGATAAGTTCAGAACATGTAATTTCTTTCATTATGAGACAGCAGCAGAAGTACTATCTCAAAACCACCAGCAAGAGTAATGTAAACCATCATGAACCAATCAAACATGCTTAAAAAGGTATTGATGAAAAAAAAAACACAATATAATTGATGATATTTACCTGCAAATTTGCATTTTACTAAAGATAGCCATACATTTACAAATATTACACAAGCAAAATCTGCAATCAACTATTACAGCAGGAAACTAATCCCAACTTAAAACATAAAGCCGCTCACCTATCTTGTAACACAGATTAGTGTAATTTGATCATAAATCCATTACACATCTATCTAAGAAATTTAAATAAAAAAAATTTCATTAATAGTTAAGTTTGTCGTGGATAAATGAGATATAAGATGAAGTTGTCGTTAAAATAGTACAAAGATTGAACGAGAAGATTGTCTTGGAGAACAGATAGGATGGCAATTATTGAAAATAATTGAAAAAAAGTGTGTTGGGCTTGCAAAATAAAGCAAAAAATCAACAATGAAAACCATAGAAAAATAGAAAAGCTCGAAAGAATTAGGAAGGACAAGGAATAAACAAGTCGTAAAATGATTTCAAAATCGTAGAAAGCGAGAGGAATAAATTAAATAGAGTATTCAAAAAGCAAGTCCGACCTGGAATAAGCTAATAAATATGGTGAAAATGAATTAAATAGAAATACCCCTTTGCGGGGATATAGCATAAATGCTACCATATTTTTCAGTAAGAACCTGCAATAGTTAATATTGTAATATATATTGCTAATGTCTTATGAATATAAGACATAGAATATTAGACAAAAGGACATACCGAGAATAGAAAAGAAAATCATAAACCCCGCGGATATCTGAACAACCCTTCGACTTCCAACCCGCGTCAAAGCCAACAAACCAGCATTTTCACTGAACATTAGCCACAACATCGTGAACAAACACTACTTCACATTCACTACAACAAGCTAATGAAAGCAAATATATCAAGGAGACATTTATATATATACCACGTAATTCGTATGCATTTACATATCTAACATATAAACTTTTAATTTTTACATTTATATGGCCCAAATTTTTTGTATCACAACGAAAATACCACTATTTTTACTTTTGAAAAGTGAGATTCAGTTTTTCATGAATAGGTAAGGTGGTATATAAGTAAAAATTGAAGTCTAGATATTAGATATGTAAATACATAAGAATTGAGTGGTATAATTCTAAATCTTTAATACATCAAACAAGTCTTACACAGATACAGTTGAGCCGCTTGCTGTTCCAAACAAACCATCCAGTAAAATACCAATACCCTGGAACCAGCAGCAATTCAAAATCATAAAATTTTGCAAAAATGAATGAACACACACACACACACACACAATCACCAGTTCAGTTTCACACCTGCCAACCAATTCCACGACTAAGAACAGACGGGGGCAGCGGAGTTGCACTGGCATATCTGGACACTGCAATAAAAGTCCCGGTAGACTGCATAATAAAATAACATGTTTTAGATTCAAGCAATCAGTAAAAGCACAAAACAAAATTAAAATAAAAATTAAGTAACATGCTTAAAAAGATGCTAAATTAGTCCCCAAACTTTTTTACCGAGGGCTAAGATAGTCAATAATATGGACTATTTCAACCCATATTAAAAAACTCTCGGTGATAAAATTGAAACTTTTATAAAGACAACAAAAAAAAGTAATTAAATTCAACCCCAAAATAAGAAAGCAGCACTCGAGTGTCTAGAACACACAAACAAACCTCCACTAGACCAACGAATGCAGCAGCCATCATGGCGAAGGCTTCCCCGGCATCAAATGATGGCGCTCCCCATTGAAATGGATATGGGACTCTTATCCTACAAGTATAAAATTCAAAATAATACACCAACCATGAATTTCTGAACAATCTCATCCAACAAAATCTGATCAAAACCAACCAAAAACATATGTAAAAAGAAATTTATCTTACCAGGGAGCTGAGCTGACAAGCCCAGAACGATCGGTTCGGCAATGTGATTGCGTTTTAGGCGGAGCATGCTTATATGCCCCACCAACGGTGAGGAAATATGCATACAACCATACAATTGCCACAGAAAAAATGACTGCAAATCGATCAAATACATGCTTCTCTCCATGTATAGCATGAGGAATGTACTGTACAGAAAACAATATATATATATATATATATATATATTCGATAATGCTTAAATACTACATTGGAAATCATGTCAACATCCCAACATGGAAAAAGATATTGGAATTTCTAATTCTGAATGATTTACAATTTTTCGAAGTCATGATACCTGTGAAATTACAATCAAAATTATGATTGTTGGAAGCCCAATTTCAACACATTTACCAACCTGGCAATAGTATAAAATATATCAGGCGTAAAAACAAGCACAAATACACAAATGATCAGGTTTAAAAAAAAATAAAGAAGATCTACATGCATACCACTCAATTCCTATGAATTTACATATCTAACGCCTAAACTTCAATTTATGCATTCATACCACCTTACTTATGCATGTGTATACTCAAAAATGGTTTGCACGAATCTCAAGGCAATCCAGTAGTCGGCCAACCAAGCTCTCTCGGCCACCTCAGTTCAGTCGACCGACCAAATTCTCTCCCTCAATCGGCCGACAAACGTGGACATGAAAAGTCTGCATCGATCTCAAGACGATCCAACGATTGAAATAAAAAAGACTAAAATGTCATTTGCTTCTCTCTTCAAAAACATAGCAAGATATATAATTTTTGTACCTTCTACTCCTCTTTATCTTCTATAAACAGTAGGGTTTCATGATGTAAAAGAGGGAAGACCTTTTTTGGGGCACCCCTTATTCATAACCTCTAATTTCATGGAATAACACGGGTTCACAAGCCCGGGAGCACCCCATTTCTCCTCCCGGTGGGGGGAAGTCCTCTTCTCTCTCATTTATCCCCCTCTCTCGATCACCTCTCCTCAGTTCAATGCTCATTTACTTGGATACAATCTACTTAATATATTGAATTCAACATCCTAAAATGTGCGGTGAGTGTGAATCGTGCTGTGAACAAAAAGATGAGCTAACAGCAATAGGAAACTCTTCAGAAACACGCTCAACACACAAGGGGAACTTGCACAAAGGCGGATCCGCTTCCTTTACCATCCTCGTGACCTCTTAGAAACTTCATCTCTTTCTCCGCATTTCCCCATACATCTAGTGGAAACAGGACAACCCACACTTTCAATCCCCATCGTCGCTCAAGCTGTGAGCTTTCTCTCTACTTCCAACTCCAACCAAGACCTTCATTTCCTCTCTCCAAGCTCTCTCCCTCTCACTCATTTCTTCACTCACTCCACTCCACTATTCTTCTCTAACAGCAAACTCTATTTTCACATCTCTTATGCCGCAAGTGGGGTTCTTACACCCGTTGGATTTTGCCGACCTTGATTCATCCCACCGACCGGACTACATACCGCCAAATCCTTACATGTTTATATATATATATATATATATATAAGGTTGCTAGATTGTTTAGTAAACAAAATGTTATTATAGAAGGCATTACAATAAAAATCATCAAATGAACTCCTAATTTTGATCCTAGCAAGGAGCTCACCATTGTGTCTATTTGGTTTAAACTTCCGGTCGTTCCACTATTATCTGAAATAATGGAGGAAGGTAATTTCAAATATCTTCCTTGCTGGCATTGTGCAACAGTACAAGGTTTACAAACCCGGGGATTTAAGTTGCCCAAACATGAGTGCCTAAAAAAATCGAGGCTAAATCCATGTTAAATAGCCGATTAAAGCTTTGTTATGTATTTGTAGATCGACCGTAGCACTTCTCAGGCCACATTGTCGACCGCACACCTTTGCTCAGTCCGCCACCCATTGGCCAACCGCCACTGAAACAATAAAAACTTGCATAAATACCACTCAATTCTTGCATATTTATATATTTTCTTACATACTACTCAAAATTTTTAATTGCCTCTAACAAAATCACCCTCTGGCCGACATTGCATCAGTCGGACACCGCGACGACTGGTCGTCCTAATCCATCCGATCGCTCCGCCTCTATTCGAAACTATGAAAATTTTAGATCTGGAGCTATCAAATGTTCCGCTTTACTTAGTCTAAACTGACACCCGACAACACCCTCCAATTGACCGTTGCTCTGGCCACCTCCGACCAACCACCTCCGGAAAAATCGCCACACATCGGACCGGCCTTGCCCTCTGTTGTTTGGTACCGCATCAACAATCAGACTTCTTCCCACAAGGCATGCCCTCCTGCTCTCTCGACCGCATGTACCGATCAACCCAACTCCACCTATTTGCCCCCCCCCCCC